GGGGGCTGAAGATGTCTTGAAAAAAGCTCATATTTTTACAGGGCTCCTGTTGAGGATATTGGTAAATTTTCGATGACCCCCTCCAAGATTTTAAAATTTTCAATGCTCCCCCCCAAAATCCGAAATCGAAGGAGTACAATCCGGAATTCTCTCTTATCGCAGATACAAATTGCAGTTCCTCAAGATGTTTGATATACTCAAGCACGTGCTTCTCCTCAACAAAAATACTGACTTGCTGCTTCTTTCACCTCACTATCGCCAGATGAAATGGCACCGTCTTTAAAAAAACATTTTAAATTGGCTCTAGGGGTGAAAATATCAACAGATTGTTGTCCATCATAGTCGGAGTCTTGAACACGTTCATGTAGTGGCCGGGATTTCCTGGATCAGGGTAATGTGCTTGAACCCTAGAGAACCTCGTCCCCACCCAACGTATCTCCTGGCATTTGTTGCAAATTTCTTTGCTTGCCTGTCAAAAATGCATGCAAAAGCAAGCGCCAGTATGCCTCAATTATATTGTCTTTAATTTTAATCCCGTTTGTACTAAATATCCAATGAACATAGAATATATCATTCTTACAAATCGTATGCTTTTTTATTTTGGAACTGCTACTTTTTGGCGGGTAAATTACGTCACAAACCTGGCGCCAAAAAATTAAAAATAAGCTATAGGTGATTTCATGTATCCATTTAGAAGAGCAGACTAAGGATATATATCTTAAAACTAAAATCGGTTTTGAAATACAACCATCAGGGACGTAGCGAAGCATCCGAAGTTGGGGGGGGGGGGGTGGCAGAGGATTTTACCTGAAATTTGAATTTCAATGTTAAAAATTTACCTGAAGTGTAATAATTATAATAAACCTTTTTTTGATTGATTTGCACTGTCATACTAAGTTTTGGGAGAAAAGGGGGGTCTGTGGGTCCCCCAGAAAATTTTTTACATTTTTGAAGCTCTAGAACTGAATTTATGGCGTTTTCTAAGGCAAATAAATTGGATGTAAATTGACTGTATTTTACAAAAATGGTTATCAATTCACAAAAATAATTACTTTAGTACGCAAATTTTACCTGAAAATGTCAAAATTTTAACTTGAATTTTACATAATTTTTTCGTGAATTTGTTTGTGACGTATTTTACTCGCCAAAAAGTAACAATTCCTAAAACAAAAAACATACGATTTGTAAGAACGATATGTTCTATATTCACGGAAAATTTGGTAGAAACAGATTGAAAATTTCAGAAGTTGAAGCATATTGGTGCTTTTGCACCCATATTTGACAGGCGTGTTGCAGCCTTCTTTTACGTATTCCATGTGGAGCTCCCCATGCCAGTTAATATAGAATAGATGGTTTGGAAATTATTAGAATAGCAATATATTCGTGTTCTGCCCGACGAATTTCTTTTGAAAGAGATTGATTTTACGCTATGTGAATATGAATATATGAATATACACCCCCCCCCCCCCAAATTATCGCGTCTACCTACGGCCCTGGCCATTTCTGATTTTTGCTTTATAGCCGAAATTTTGCCTATTAAATATAGTCTAGGACCTGTATATGAGTTTGTATGCGTTTCATTTAGCACAGGTAATCTCAACTGTTTTAGGGTAAAATGACCATGGCGGTCAACATGGCATATGTGCCAAAACCTGAATCCGGGACGAAAGTCCTGAAAATGACCCCGCCCTGAAACGGCAGTGTCGACATAGCTCTAACTTCAGAAAACAAAAAGCGATAGTCTTTCTGAAGTGCTTATAGTATTTAGAAGGGTTGCTTTTAGTGTGGTCATTGGAAGAAAAAAATTGTCTAAGTATAATATTTTACAAGAAAATGACCATGCACCACCCAAGGTAAATTGCTAATTATGCATAAAATAACTAATATGCCTGGCAGAAATTAAATATTCTTATTTCCTAAAAAAAATTATCATGGGGTGAAAAACTATGCTTAAATTAATATAAATATTGTTGATATCATAAGGATTGTCATTGTTTTCTTTAAATATAATAAATTTTATTTCACTTACCCCCCACGAAAACACATTTCAAGCATATTTTGCCGTCTTGTTTGCTTTTTATCGCCGAATCTCGCAAATATCATCCAGTTATTGTACTTTTATATAATCATAAATGGCTGACGAAAATTTCAAAGAAGGTTTCATCCACTTTTGAAACAGTGCAGTGTATTTTATCTTCGATATTGTGTCCTTCAATATTTCGTTAAATTGCCGCCATTTTAATGGCTCGCCGCTTCTCTGCCCGATAAATGCCACTTCTTCGTTTTCATATGTATTTAGATTACATTATCCAAGAGTATTTCTTTGTAGAATAGTCCCAATCCAAAAATTGGAAATATTATATGTACTTGGGAGGAAAAAACCTCCCAATTAAAATAGTTGTCCTGTCAGAATTCAAAAGAAGTAATTTAAAAGTCACGCGCAAGTTCGCGAAAACACCTCGTGGGTTACATAACAGGGGGAAGTGAATATTTTCACGAAACGTTTGTTCGCCACCACAGCAACCTAACTAAGTACATTATATTTATTGTATATTTGTGATTTATGAAAAAAAAATATATTTGCGTACTTTTATCATCAATTATAAAAATACAAAAAATATAATACAATTAGTTAGGTTGCTGTGGTGGCGAACAAACGTTTCGTGAAAATATTCACTCCCGTTATGTAACCCACGAGGTGTTTTCGCGAACTTGCGCGTGACTTTTAAATTACTTCTTTTGAATTCTGACAGGACAACTATTATGGGAGGTTTTTTCCTCCCAAGTACAAATAATATTTCCAATTTTTGGATTGGGACTATTCTACAATGAAGTACTCTTGGATAATGTAATCTAAATACATATGAAAACGAAGAAGTGGCATTTATCGGGCAGAGAAGCGGCGAGCCATTAAAATGGCGGCAATTTGATGAAATATCGAAGGACACAATATCGAAGATAAAATACACTGCACTGTTTCAAAAGTGGATGAAACCTTCTTTGAAATCTTCGTCAGCCATTTATGATTATGTAAAAGTACAACAACTGGATGATATTTGCGAGATTCTGCGATAAAAAGCAAACAAGACGGCAAAATATGGCTGAAATGTGTTTTCGTGGGGGGTAAGCGAAATAAAATGTATTATATTTAAAGAAAACAATGACAATCCTTATGATATCAACAATATTTATATTAAATTAAGCATAGTTTTTCACCCCATGATAATTTTTTTTAGGAGATAAGAATATTTAATTTCTGCCACGCATATTAGTTATTTTATGCATAATCAGCAATTTACCTGGGGTGGTGCATGGTCATTTTCTTGTAAAATATTATACTTAGACAAATTTTTTCTTCCAATGACCACCCCTAAAAGCAACACTTTTAAACACTATAAGCACTTCAGAAAGACTATCGCTTTTTGTTTTCTGAAGTTAGAGCTATGTCGACACTGCCGTTTCAGGGCGGGGTCATTTTCAGGACTTTCGTCCCGGATTCAGGTTTTGGCACATATGCCATGTTGACCGCCATGGTCATTTTACCCTAAAACAGTTGAGATTACCTGTGCTAAATGAAACGCATACAAACTCATATACAGGTCCTAGACTAATACTATGATGGCAAAAACTGTAAAATCTCATGTTTTCTTATAGGAAAAATAAACTATATCACTAGAACGTTCGCAAAGAAAATATATATAAGACAATTAAGCGAATTCTATGATCTTTTTAATGCTCAGTAAAAATGCAGAAATGACTAAATAATTTTAAATGCTATTAAGTACCCATTTTCCCAACTTTAACCGTCTTCAATTCAAAACCGGCTTGAAAAATCGCACTGGTCACTTAATTGTCTTATAGCCTATATCCTTTTTTGCGAGCTTTCTAGTGCCCCAGTATACTAGTGGTATTATTTATTTTTCGTATAAGAGAACATGAGATTTTACATTTTTTGCCAATAATAGTATCAATTTAATAGGTAATATTTTAAAATTCTCAAATTTCCGGCTATAAAGCAAAAATCAGAAGTGGTGGTAAGTGGTAGCACATATAGTCTTTTTCACCAATGCTTAAACTATAAGAAACCCAGCAGCTTCTAACATAAAGTTGCCATCAAACTCTCTTTCTTGAGAGGCACTTTTTGCACATTTGGCGGTTTTGGCCGGCCGACTAGCTTGAACCATTCGTTGACAGTTAACTATAATTTATCTATAGAAAATAATGAAGTCTTTACTGAATCGTGCACTGTGACTTATTTCAATACATTGAAATCATCCACATGCATTACATATATACTAGCGCTGTTGTTTATAAAGGCAATATTAGGCAATGTTGAATGCACCTTTCAGCGCAATTAGTTCTGACCGCTATAGCCAAGTGGTGTAGAATTTCTCTCGCAGAAAACTCGTGTAAACGTAATTTATTGTGGAATATTTGACTTCAAGCTAGCATTGTGTCAATGTAAATGCATATAGAAATTTGAATTTATTTTTGAATTTATTAGATTTGTCACATAAATCACACAATCACAGATAATAATTTACAGAGGTCAAAAAAGTATTAATTTACAAAATGGTAATAATAACAGTTTACAAGAGTAGGTATTTATGTGACGAGGAGGTTTGATGAGAAACCACTTGGCTTATTATGTATGTGTAACAAACCTCCTCTTGTGTTAGATTTATCTCAATGATAATTATATGAACAAAATTGGTTTTATTAATTAACTATAATATAAGACGAGCAGAGATGCTTTTTCATTTTTATGGTAAATGGAATATGATAGATCGTAGATCCTCCAAGTGATGACAATGAGGAGTATCCGGGTGATGTATCGCATTTTGATGCGTTCGAGCCCTTGTATGAGGATGATGTTAGAAAGCTTGTTGTGGACTCGCACAAAAAATCATGTTACCTTGATCCAGTGCCAACAGATTTCTTGGTGAAATGTCTGGATGTGTTACTTCCTGTGATTACAAAAATAATCAATATCTCACTTGAAACTGGGCACTTTCCTAGAGACTGGAAGGAAGCTATCATTCTTCCCATATTAAAAAAGTCTGGGCTGGAGTCCGCTTTTGAAAATCTTCGTCCCATCAGTAATTTAGCATATATTTCAAAGCTTATTGAACGAGCAGTATATAATCAAACGCACGATCATATCCTTCGATGTGGCTTTTATCCAGTTTTGCAATCTGCTTACCGGCGGTATCACTCCACAGAGACTGCGTTACTCAAAGTACTCAATGACATTTTGTTGAGCATGAACAGTCAACGTGTCACTCTCTTGGTTCTTCTGGACCTAAGTTCCGCTTTTGACACAATTGATCATGGAATTTTGCTGGAACGGTTAAGGTCAAAATTTGGAATACGTGGAACAGTTCTCAGTTGGTTTTCTTCCTATTTGTCTGGTCGAAGTCAACGTGTTATGCTAAATGGTACCCTTTCTGATTCATCTGATTTGAACTTTGGTGTCCCGCAGGGTTCGTGTTTGGGGCCTCTTCTTTTTATATTATATGCCTCCAAACTGTTCGATGTTATTAACAATCACTCGCCAGATTTACATGGTTTTGCTGATGACACTCAGTTGTATGTGTCATTCAAACCTGACTACCCATGCGATCAATGTGAAGCGATCTCGGTAATGGAAAGCTGTGTCAACGATCTTCGGAAATGGATGATTCAAGATAAATTGAAACTAAATGACGGTAAAACTGAACTGTTAATAATTGGATCTAAGCAGCAACTGCAGAAACTTAACCCATGCCATGTACATGTCGGGAATGCTGATGTCCTTCCTGTACCAATAGCTCGTGATCTAGGAGTTTGGCTTGATTCAAATTTAAAAATGTCATGTCATATAACAAAGACATGTGGTGCCGCATTCTATTGGCTTCACAACATCAAACGCATCAGCAAGTTTTTATCTCGGGAAAATCTGTTGACTGTTATACACGCCTTTGTTACAAGTCGACTAGATTATTGTAATGGTCTCCTGTATGGTTTACCAAATACTGAACTGATTAAGTTGCAGAGGGTTCAAAACGCCGCTGCAAGATTAGTGACTTCAACACGAAAATACGATCACATTACACCTATATTACGTGAACTACACTGGTTACCTGTGAAGTTCAGGATCCATTTTAAACTGCTATTGCTTACTTTTAAAGCTTTACATGGAATGGCTCCAAAGTACATAGTAGATCTACTCGTTGTTAAAGTGGAAGGAAACTACCTTTTACGCTCTAATGATAGCATAATGCTAGAGTTCCCTAAGGGTAAATTTTTACGGTCATTTGGCGACCGATCTTTCACTATGGCAGCTCCGAAACTTTGGAATAAAGAAGTGGACCTTGATATTTAATTGAAAATTGCCGTAGATTTGTTCTTGGAGTTGCAATGTAAAATTCATTAGCTCTCCTAGTATTATAATTATGTACTTGCCGTTTTAAAAGAAATAGGTTTTCAAAATGGTCTGGTAAGAGATTGTTCATGTACAAGAACATAAATTGGCCAGTTTGTAATTTACAAAGGTCGTGAAATTTTAGTAATAATTCTGACAATACGTTTTTGAAGAATTACCAAACGAGTTAAATTGGATGCATACGTATAGATGCCCACACTATATTGCAATATTGCAAATAGAGATACACCATCGAGCAGTAAAGAGTTAACAGTGATTGTTTTAACAGAAAAAAGCTAGATTTGCGTATAATAATAATTATTCCTATCGATTTGGAAATCTTATTTGACACATGATTAATGTGAGATTTCCAAGTGAGATGCTCATCTAGAATGACACCTAAGAAAACAATTTCATTTGTTTGAATGAGTTCTCTGTTATTAAGTACTATTTTAAAGTTTGTTTGTTGATTTTTTGTCTAGGTTTGAATATTATAAATTTTGTTTTATCAAGATTTAAGGACAATTTGTTCGCTCTGAGCCAAATCGAAAATTTTTGTAGCTCTCCGTTTGTCACATTAACCAACTTCGTATCGTCAGCAAGAAGGATTAGTTTCGCAACATCAGAAACATTACATATGTCGTTGATATATATATATATATATATATATATATATATATATATATATATGTATATATATATATATATATATATATATATATATATATAAATATATATAAACATCAGTGGCCCTAAAATGGATCCCTGTGGAACTCCACAGGTTATAGATTTAAAGGCAGAGCATGAGTTATTAAACTGAACAAATTGTTTTCGGTCAGAAAAGTAACTTTTTATCCAGTTCAATGCTATGCCACGTACACCACAATATTCCAATTTCTCAAAAAGAATATCATGGTCCACCGTGTCAAAAGCTTTGGATAGGTCCAGGAAAATTCCAACAGCATATTCTTTTTGTCGATTGCTTCTGAGATTCTATCATATAAACCAACAAGGGCTAATGAAGTTGAGTGACCTTTTCTAAAACCGTATTGATTTACACATAAAATTTTGTGTGTATTCAAATAGCTAAATAATCGTTTATACAATACTTTTTCCAAAATCTTTGAGAAAGCAGGTAATATGGAAATATAGGTCTATAATTATTGTCAAATAGTTTATTCTCTGCCTTGTATAAAGGAATAACTCTCGCTATTTTCATTTCATCCGGAACGAAACCATTAGCTAAAGACAAATTTACAATGTGTGTTAAAGGCCCTGAAATTAAGTCAATAGATAATTTGATAGCAGACATTGAAATGTTGTCATAACCAATGGCCTTTCCAGATGGAAAAGCTTTAGCGATATGTTTTATTTCATTTTTTAAGACCGGTTCAAACTTGAAATGTACTGAACATGGCTTGTGTTTTATACAGCCTGATGTCGGTTGAAATCTTTCATTCTCCTAAGGGCCGGAGCTAGGGGGGGGGGGGTGGTTCTATTCCAAGCTTCAGTCGGCAGGACTGCTATTTCAGTCGGCAGGAAAAAATATTTTTGACGAATAGAACTACTACCGATATGATTTTCACCTGTTATATAAGAAACGGAGATTTTGGTTACTCGAAATTTACTCAGGATAATCATTATAATCGGTTAGCAAAACAAGCCCAGCTTGACAGTTAAACGACATAGTGATACAAAGTATATGTAGCATATTTGATAGGTAGAACCGCTGAACACAATATATTGCCGCCAAAAACTCAATTATCAAATATGGCGATTTAGAACAGGCTTTATTTAGAGCACAACGGGCGTAACTTCAGCGATCGCGGAGCAGGGGGGGGGAGGCAACAATTTCCATACATATGTAATTTTTATAAACTAAGAATACTGAAATCTTTCAGATCAGTTAACAATATATTTATAACTTATTAGTATAAGTATTCAATCTATTTGTGGTTGGTTTAAACAAATGACGGGTAATGTTAGTTTATGGCCCCAGTTACACGATACTGGATTCGTATCGGAGCGACATCAATTTAAGGTGTTTTCCAGTCTTAAATTGTCTGCTATTGCAACTTTTCATTTTTGAAGTTTTTGTTTAATTATGTTATATTATCAGAATTTTAAGTGCCAAATTCACCTCGAGTAAAATTTGATGTCGCCCCGATGCGAATCCGGTATCGTGTAACTGGGGCCTAGAAGTCGTCTATTAAGAAAATTTTTAACAGCAACTAGTAAATTTGATTGCATTTGCGGGGCTCTGGGAGGTCTCAAATTTCAAAATTTCCCGGGGACCCCCTGACAAACTCAAGCCTTCGACGTTCGCTATAGCCCCCTTAATCTAAAAATGGCTTCGTAGTTGACCTCCATCGGAAATTCCACAACCTTCCATGGCTAACAGGCGGTCGGTACAAGCTCGTTCGTCAGTCGGTTAAAATGACCTTACACCCCCTGAAACATTTCCTGGAGACGGCCCTCATTCTCCATCATTTCTTCGAGGCTTTTGCGCTAGGAGGTGGTTAACAATATAAACGTTTTGGGGTCGTGCATAAAAATCATGTTATGATGTTTCAAGTAAAATGATCTTTTCCAAATAGATTTATACTATGACATATTTTGCTATTAATTGTTTACGTGTTATATTTGCAAACAGAAAATTTTATTTTTCACAACTTTTCCGCGTCAATATTTCAAACCATAAAAATGAATTTGCGCAAAAAACGGGTGTATCACTAAACCCAATATCGTAAAAATACAGAGGGAGGCCCTTTGTATAATTGTATGATCGAAATTAACGCATTTCCTTCTTTTAATTTTCAGACTAAATGGTAGTTAAGATCGAAAGTGACAGCTTTTTCACTTTTTTTGGCACGACTTAATTAAACGCCGAAATATGTTTGCTATTTCTGACCTATCAATCAGATAAAAACGTGTCTTTGCATGCAGTGTATTAATTTTATGATCAAAATACGTCGTTTGAAGGCCATCTTGATAAAAGTAAAAAAATTTTGTTGGCAAAGACACAATATTGTTCCTTGTGTTTTGCTTGTAATTGTTGCGCATTGAATGTGCATAATTAAAAAATATGGCTCATAATTATTAGGGCTTAATTTTGCAATTAGTATAGGTAATCATGCGATAGCGAGTACAATTAGGGATTAATAGTACGAGTGATGTTTGGAAATTTTGCCAAAATTGGACGAGCCGCCGGGGCGAGTCCAATTTGGCAAATTTCCAAACATCACGAGTACTATATTAATCCCTAATTGTACGAGCAACATCGCATGATTACTTGTTTATTATTAGCATGACAAAACTGAATACGTACTTCTCAATGTCAACATCATATTCTCTCGCCAAAGCCCAGTTCTGCCAGACTTTCAACCAAAATTTGGTGTTTTTGTTTGTATTTTCATTTAGTTCTTTTGTTCAAGCAAAATTTGGTGCTTTTGTTCGTATTTTCATCTGGTTCCTTCACGGCAATTTCATTTCACATCTGTGTTTAAAATCCCTTTCCGCCATTTTGTTTGTTTTGGGAAAATCATTAATTGTACTGCAGTACAATTAATGAAATAATTGTACTCCTCTCAACCAATCAGCATCCAGTAATTTTGTCATGCTAATAATAAGAAGATAAATGAGACTTCTGTACTTGTTTGCCGAAATGTTTCCTTTTTTAGAGCTACAGGTTTTAAAATGAAACTTCTAAATATTGTCACAATCGTGAAAGCTGCAGGTTGACTAAATTCTGTGAAGCCCGGATGAAACGAGGATGAGAGTGCATAAGACTTGGTAGTCTTGACCTTGGTTAGCTGTCGTTAATGTTTTCCCCAACACTATCACGTATTCTATTGAAGTTGAAACATAGTTGGAACACTCGTCAAACCTTTGTCTAGAGTTTGACTGAGTTTCTCCTGTAAATTTGTGACTGCCAAATCTCATCAACTCTCATTCTTGTTTGATTGAGGCGTCTAAAATGAGAAGGGCTGTATCATTCATGTTGCGACATGGTTTATCCAAGGGTAGATTTCAATGTCATCTGTTGACAATTTCTTAGATTTTATTGACTCAGGGTTTACTATAATTTAGTTCGATATTGCATAAACAGATAATAGCTTGAGGAAATAAAATTCTTTTTTAAATTTGCCGTCATGCACGATTCTGCCTTTAATATATGGAAATGAAATGGACATTTTCTGAGGTCAGTAAATCTTGTATTATTGCACCGCATTAAATGGTGCTGTTTGTTTCCAATTAAATCGCAATGTTGACAAATTCTTTTATCGTATATAACATTGCCACGTA